TATGGCCATGCTATTGGCCATAGTTGCCTCTTCAGCACTGTTGCAGGCCATCCCAGCCTCCTCCCCTGGATATAATCAGCGTGTCTCTGGTCCCTGGATTCTGGCGACTTCAGTGTTGGGAGATGTTGGGGTTCTCTTTCTTACATCATAACATTTGGCAAGTAGTGGGTGGGGTGCTAATGAAAGGTAGCTTGGTCCTCCTTCCGCAAGCTTTAAGGAGAAAAGATGAAATCTCACAGAAGAGGCATGCTGGAGCCGCCTGGGCAGGAGTAGCTGGCGGTGGTGGCGGGGAGGGCACTTGGGATCTGGTTCTCATCTGGTCTCTTGTATGATGGCTGTGGGAAGAAGCAGAAGCCCCTAGAGGTCCCTGCCCGTGGTGGGGACCTTTCATTTTCCTTCTGCTGTAGTTTCCTGCACAGTCTTTTGTTGACTTTTACCCTTCTCTGTAGCCCTTTCCTTGATGGCCCTTTGAACGGAGAGGAGCTATGACAATGTTTGTAAGGGCCTTGCAGAAAGAACTTGGAGGAGAGTCTGACCTCTGGCCCACTGCTGGCCGTGGAAGCCGCTGCTGTTCCACTTGGGGCCTCTCAGAGTACCGCAGAGGGAAAAGGTGTGATCCTGCCTCAACCCGAGAGAGTGTCACCACACCCTTGTTAGTGAAAGACCCCACAGTAGGGTCCTTCTGCCCAATGTTGCTCACAAAGGAAGAATCAGACTGTGTTCAGTAAAGCAGAGCAGAGGCTTTATTCTTCGATCGAGGCACAGAGAAGGGCAAGCTTATACTCTAATGACACCTTCTCTCCGACTTGAAGAAATTAGGAGAGTCTTACAGGGTTGGTGGCAGGTAGGTGGGTTTAGGGGGTGAGGATTTCTGAGAAAAGGGTGGAGAGAGCTAGGAATTGCAGGGGAGTAGGCACAACGTCTAAACAGGCTGGGAACATGCCTGGCCATATGTCACCTCTCATTTCTGTTAAGTCTCCACACTTGGCATGAGTTTTAGCATGCTAATTAAGGGGAGATTGTCAAAAGGTCACACAGGGAGGGGTTGCTAGTGCCATCTTGGATCTTTCCCGTGCACACCAGTTTCTTTGCTGTGGTCTTGGGCCTTTTATCTGGGTCTTTCCTGTAGGCTTTCTTCCTCCTGGAATTTCCACCCTTTCCTGACTTGGTCAGTCAGCTCTTATTAGGGGAATCAGAGAAAACAAGACAGGCAAGCTCAGATCCTGATGGTACAGCAGCCTCAGCCAGGAGTCCCAGCCACAACCTTAACACCATCACAGCCACTACCATCTGTCCAGCAGCAGCAGCAGTGGCTGTACCACCACCACCACCGTTGTAATTTCTACAGCCACAGCCACAACCACCATCACCGCCACCTTCACCTGCAGCCTCACTAGTACCTGCAGCACAAGCCTCGCTGCCCCCATGCCCAGCCGAAGCAGCTGGAACATGAGCAGAAACACACCCTGTAGCAGCACCAGGAAACACCAAAGAGAAATACAGGCTGTGGTGAACCAAATGGTAATGCTGGAGAAAGAGGTATCTTTAAAGAAGCTGGGTTCTGATGAAGCTACCAACCCTAGTGCCATGGTCCTCAGTAATGACCAGCAAATTGTAGACACTAATCTGAAGCAGACGGTAAAAACCAGCACCTTTTGGGAAGCAGGAATTAAAACCAGGAATTTTATTCAGAAAAACAGTATAGACAAAAAAGAATGGAAAAACTTATGAAAAGAAATCTGAAGAGAACTACTCTGTAGATAAGACTGATCTTGTAGTAATTCCAAATGGTGTTGTAACAAATAATTCCAGCTGTATTACTAATGATTATATGATAATGGTGGTAGTGGATCTGAGAGTGGATATATCATTCCTAACAAAAGGAAAGCTAGGCGCAATAATGCCAAGGATTGTGAAAAACTTAATTTACTAGAGGCCCAGTGCATGAAATTCTGCATGGGTAGTGTCCCTAGGCCTGGTGGGCCATCAGGGCCAATAGGGGCCTTCCTTCATTTGGCACCACCCCCTGATGGTCAGTGCATGTCATAGAGAGTGAGAGGTCAATCCCCTGAGGGGATACTTTGCATATTAGAATCATATCTAATAAAAGAGTAATATGCAAATTGACCATTACTCCAACACATAAGATGGCCACCCCCATGTGGTAAAACAATGGCTGCCCCCATGTGGACACAAGATGGTGGGCAGGGGAGGGCAGTTGTGTGTGATCAGGCTAGCAGGGGAGGGCAGTTGGGAGGGACCAGGCCAGAAAGGGAGGGCAGTTTGGGGGTGACTTGGCCTTCAGGGAAGGGCAGTTGGGCGGGGGGGGGAACTGGACCTGTAGGGGCGGGCAGTTGGGGGGAACCAGGCCAGCAGGGGAGAGCAGTTAGGGGAGACTAGGCCTGCAGGGGAGGACAGTTGGAGGAAACCAGGCCAGCAGGGATGGGCAGTTAGGGGTGACCAGGCCTGCAGGGGAGGGAAGCTGGGGGTGACCAGGCCTGCAGGGGAGGACCATTAGGGCCAACCAGGCCTGTCAGGGGAGGGCAGTTGGGAGGGGGCCAGGCTTGTAGGGGAGGGCAGTTGGGAGGGACCAGGTCAGCAAGGGAGGGCAGTTTGGGGCGACTAGGTCTGCAGGGAAGGATAGTTAGGGGTGACCAGGTTTGCATGGGAGGACAGTTAGGGGTGACAAAATAATGCAACAAGAGACCAGTGTTTCAATCTTAAAACAGGGACTTGAAACTCTCAATCCTGACTACTGTGAACAAGAGGGAAATCAAGTAGATGGTTTGAAGCCCATCTTGAAATATGAAACTGGGCTTGGAGGAACAAGTCAAGGAAAACCTGCTGTGGATGATATGTTGCAAAAAATTGGTTTTAAACCTGGTGTGAGCAGAAAAAATTTGCTGATTGGCTCAGAGGAAAGCATGCTTCTGCTGTTGCCGCCAAAGAGGACTCTTGGGCCCTATTTAAATCTCCCCAGTTTTTCCAGTGGACAACAGCCATGCTAAAATAGTGCCTAAAATAAGTTATGCAAGTAAAATTAAGGAAAACCTCAACAAAACTGTACAGAAATTTCTGTGTCACCACCTCCATCTTCATCCTCTTCATCCTCTACTAGGAAAACTCAGATCCTGTCTTCAAGTCAATTATCCAAGGTCCCTGTGTCAGCGCTGAAATCTCTTACTTTGGACAATTTGCCTAATAGCTCTGTTTTAGCAGGGACTGAGGAAGTGTGTATTCTCCAGGGCTTCAGCCACTGCTAACTACTGTTGCTAATATGCTAACACCCATCTTTTCTGGGACTGATTCAGTTCTTCAAGACACAAGTCTAATTTCAGCAGCTGTTGAATAAATTAAGTCTAGCCTTTTTTATCTACCCTTCAAATATGCAAACTGTGCTGTTGAGCACAACACATGTGGATCTACCCTCTCAGACAGACCAGCATGACCTGAGGGCTATCTTCCGGGATCAGTGGGGTTTGTCACTTACACATGAGCCCAGTGCCGGCCCTGAGACTGTTACTGGGAAGTTATCAGATCATCAGTGATAGAGCTGAGGTGGCAAGGGGAATGTCCTCCACTTTGGTTTCACGGGGTGCTGAAAGAACCCCCTCAGGAACTGAGCATCCTCTGTTTCCCAAGGCTTCCGAGCTGAAAAGGTGGACTAGTCCTCAGGTGTAGATAGCATTCTAAAATCTGGGACCACTAGTGAGTGTGTAGCCTCATCTTTGGAACCCAGTCATACAGATGAGTATGGGAAACAGTGTTTTTTCTTATATTATCATTTATTGAAATATTTTCCATGCCGACAACTATAAACCTACTTTTGCCTCATCCTGAATGTATGCATTGTATGTGTATGTGTATGTGTATGTGTATGTGTATGTGTATGTATGTGTATGTGTATGTGTATGTGTATGTATATACACACTGCTGCTTTTCTCCCATTTCCTGCTCTACTCCAGAAAAGTGGGAAGTCTATGATTGCCATAGACTCTGATTGGGCTGGTTTAGGTCATGTGCTAACCCCTAAACCAATCAGTTTGGTCAAGGAGGTACAGGGTTCTGATTGGCAGGCTGAGCCTCACAATAAGCATGGGAGTGGAGGGTGGGGTCACACGTGGGAGGGGAGAGGTGTGGGCCAGTGGGCTCCTAGCACAGTTCCCTTCCCGCTGCACCCACTTAGCACTTAGCATGAGGAGAAATGGGGTGCTCTTACTACCCACCAACACCCCTTCGAGGCTGCATGGAGGGTTACTGTCCTACCTTCCCTTCTGACTCACTGTGGGTTTACAGAGTTGGGGTCTGCTGCGTGAGTTTGGGTTGGGACCTTGCCTGGCAAGAGCCTTCCTTGATGCCATGAACTGTGTTGATTAAAAAGACGGGGTCTTGCATTTTCCCACTGTCTCACTTATAAAGTCTCTATTTCGGAGGTGAATGTTTTAAGAAGACTCAGCAATATGATGATCTAGGCTTTGGATCCTTACAGTCTTTGAGAATCCATGCCCTACATGGACCCAAAGGACAGTCATTTTACCTCAGTAGTGTGATAATGAATCTTTGTCAATACTACTTTACAAAGTTAAAAACATTCTTTTCTAAAAAAAAAAACAAAAAACAACCTCACCATGCAATAAGTATTTCATTGTCTGCTATCCTCTAGGCCAGTAGTTCTCAACCTTCCTAATGCCGCGACCCTTTAATACAATTCCTCACGTTGTGGTGGCCCCCAACCATAAAATTATTTTCATTGCTACTTCATAACTAATTTTGCTACAGTTGTGAATTGTAATGTAAATATCTGTGTTTTCCGATGGTCTTAGGCGACCTCTGTGAAAGGGTCGTTCTACCCCCAAAGGGGTCACGACCCACAGATTGAGAATCGCTGCTCTAGGCACTGGCTGTATGTGTATACAGTACTTGCAGAATGATTCCACTCCAAATCTTCTGAGTTTGGGGCCTCTTCCTTCTCTGATGCCCTTCTCTTCTCTGTGCCGCAGGGAACTGTTGGAGACCACATGCCGCATAGCCAACACATTGAAAAGGCATGGGGTCCATCGAGGGGACCGTGTGGCCATCTACATGCCCATGTCCCCACAAGTTGTGGCTGCAATGCTTGCCTGTGCCAGGATTGGCGCTGTCCACAATGTCGTCTTTGCTGGCTTCAGCGCAGAGTCCTTGGCTGGGAGGATCAATGATGGTAAGCATGTGGGCAGGGGGAAGGAGTGAGGGAGGAGCCCAGAGCCCCCTGGTCCTTGTTCCTTGGATTTAGAGACAGGCATTCATAAAAGTCACACAAGACAATTGACAGACACTACCACTCCATGAGCATTTGTTCTATGAGCTGAGATCCAAGTGTGGTGGATTTAGCCAGGTGAGGAACGGAGGGAAGGTTCCAGGTGGAGGGAACAGCGTAGGTACCAGCTGAATGGTGAGAGGAGCACAGTGTGCCTGAGGACCTGGAGTGAACTGGTCTCACTCCAGAGGAGAAGAGATAAGGCTGGGGATGTACAGGTGAGGTCTCACAGGTAAATAGCTGGAAGCCTTCCAATGGAAAGTATGATGAAGGACCATCTCTGGAGGCCTGGAGTCAGGTATTAGAGCGTGTGATGAATCTTTAAGGCTTTTGTCTGCAGGTGGCTCAGAATTTCCTGGACAGTGTGCAGAACAATAACATCTCCTTCCTTCTTTTGGTGTCAGAGTCCAGTGTTTGCCTGGTGCCCCATGTCCATGCAGTCTGAACCCTGCTCCAGTGAGATTTTAGAGAGAGAGTCCTTGAGCTGGCTCCCCAAGGTCGGCACCAAGTTCTGGGGGCCATTGCGGTTTTTACATTTTCATAACCATTTTAGGATTAACATTTTTGTTTCTGCATTCCCTACATCACCCAGACTTCACTGCACATGCGCCCACCTTCTCCTTTGTTGGGCCCCTTTCTCCAGTGATCTGCAGGGGATGGACTGGTGAGCAGCTAGACCGGGGAGTGTAAAGTTGCAGCTCCCTAGTGAAGTTGCCCAGGTGACCATGCTTCCGGTGTCTGGCCTCCACGTTGCTTTCTTTCTATTTTAACTTTAGCCAGCTGATTATGACAATAACACCCGGACACCTTGATTTTGACCTTGAGGCTCTTAGGACAGAAACCCTGTGGTGCTCACCTGGACTGTAGAACTGTGAGCTAAAAAATTAGTGTTTGTGTCACTAAGTTTATGGTAATTGGCTATGGGAACCATAGAAAATTAATATGGATGCTGATACCTGCTCAAAACCCTAGAAGGTAAATTGAATCCTCTCAAAGCATCAGGCTGATCCTGCCCGGGCCCCTGCGCTCACCCAGGATCTGTTGCCCAGCTATGGGAACCTCAAGGCTACATGTGCTCCCCACGCGCCTCCTAGGGACCAAACCTGTGCACACAGGCTCCCGCCCTGCACCCAAGGAGAGGCTTTGGGTAAATAAGCTTCAGGAGTGAAGCATGGGCCATGGGAGGCTGGGGAGGAGCTAAAATCCACATCACAGGATTGTAGCATGTTGGATGGGACAGGCCCATGTTTTCTCTTGGGGTGGTGGTGGTGCTGGGGAGACAGCTTATTTGAAAAGGATCCGTCTGAACTTTCTTTTCCTGAAGGGAACTCACCTGGATCGGTCCCAGCTTTGGGCGATGTGGGCTTGGAGAGTCCCCAACAGAATTTGTTTACACAAGGTGACTGACTGTGCAGTTCCAAAGAAGAGCGATGAGTCAGGATCTCTGATCCCTGTATAGAACCTGCTGAGTCATCCAGCTGCAAAGGCCTGTGTAGAGATTTCTCAGGCAGCCCTCAAGGCTCCGTCATGTCTAGGGCTCTTGGGAGGAAGAAAGAATGTGGGTATATTGCTTGAAATTGCTTTTCAGACTGAAAAGCCGAGGGAGATTGGTGCCTTAGTTAGGGCTTCCCCTGGAAACAGACCTTGAGGTGTGAGTTCAAGTTTATTTGGGAAGGGGTCCTGTAAGGTGCTATAGGGCAGTGGGAGTGAGGTTTGGAAGAGGAATCAAATAAGAGCAACTTTCACAGTGCGTGCCCAGCGCTCAGTCCCACAGGGAAACCTTGTAATTTGATGCAACCACGTGTGTCAGGATAACCCCCCTACCCAGGGCTGAGGGAGTGGGGCATTTATATTCCGGTTTTTGAGAGTCACTTGTTGAGGGCTGCTGGAGTCGGGGTTCTGCTTGTGGCTCCCAAAGAAGGCGTTGGTGCACAGTGACTACAGGAGCCCCATTAGCCAGTCCTACACTGGATGGTTGTTCCAGGTTCTTCCTTAGGGAAGTAAAACCCCACTGTAACCTGATTCCTCCAGGTCATCATTTGTGGTCCTGAGGCCTGGTTGTGTTTGTATAATATATGATTCCCTGCTCTACCTCCCCTTCCCCCCGCCCCAGGTTAACCATGGAAGCTCTGGTCAGTTCGGCATTGCCACCGACCTGGCTGAGCCTGGCTGGGTCATTGAAGAGCACTTGTAAGCCTGGAGGGCCCTCCCTGAAGGTGAGGGTAGGGGCCAGCAGCTCCTGGCATTCACCTGGGGTGTGGTCTCTGTTCTCTAGCACTTTAGCCCTAGTTAGTGCACAGGGCATATTGGGGCTTGCTCTCTGGCTGCCCAGCTTTCTTGGTCTTTGCCTCATGGTGGCTGTGGCTGGGGGTGATGTGATGGCCTCTTACCTAGGAGAGCTGCCGGGCAGGTGGAAGGCTGGGAGAGTTCAGCTTCCAAGTTATTTGTCTCCACTGACTTCCTGCTCCTCCTCAGAGCTGGGGAAAGGCCTGGAGCTTCTATAGTTTGCACAAAGGTTGCAAAGCAGGCACACCCTTTACCGTGTTGCTGACTCATGTACTCAACATTGGACTTTATCACCCTCCTGTGCCCGGAATGTGTGTCTGCCGGTCTGGGCTGTGAGGGTCAAAGTGGAGAGGAAGCTGATGAGAAATGTCTGTTGTCTCTGTCAGCAAAGTGCAAGGTGATTATCACCATCAACCAAGGACTGAGGGGAGGACGCGTGTTGGAGCTGAAGAAGATAGTGGATGAAGCCGTGAAGCAATGCCCAACGGTCCAGCATGTCCTGGTGGCTCACAGGACGGACAACAAGGTCCCCATGGGGAAGCTGGATGTCCACCTTGAGGAGGTGGGTCTGCCGCCTCCGTTTGTACAGTTTGATGAGGAGAGGTTATTGTTGGGTTATCTGGGTCCGAGTCTTGTCAGATTGCAGTGTTGAATCTGGGTCCCCCTGAGATGTTCCGGGTGGTATCGGATGGGCTCACATCTGGTTGGGAAGATGGAACTCAGACACCACCAGCAGTGAAACAGCTGATGTAACAGAAATGATTGGATTCATCCTCTTACTTTGCATCTTCTCTGTGTCTGGAAGGGAACTAGGTTAGAGAAGATGAGCTCGGATCCAGTCCGAGGAGTCTCACAGCAGCAGGGAGAGGTCTTCTCAGGGGCGCTGAGTGGAGGGGAGACTAACTGCCCTGGGTGGGGCTGTTTTTGTCTCCCCCTTCAGGCCATGGCCCAGGAGGAACCTGTGTGTACCCCAGAGAGCATGGGCAGCGAGGACATGCTCTTCCTGCTGTACACCTCCGGGAGCACCGGGAAGCCCAAGGGGCTCGTGCACACCCAGGCGGGCTACCTGCTGTTTGCCGCCATGACACACAAGGTACGGCCTTGGTGGTGGGCACAGCGTGGGCAGTGCTCGCCTCCCTGGTGGGATAGGGCAGGGGCCAGTGGGGCTGGGTCTAGGGCTGGAGCGCCTCCTGTTCTAAAGCAGTGCCCGTGGGCGGGAGAGGGGCTCCTGTGTCCCCGCAGTGAGTGCGCTCATGAGCAGGGCTGCTACCAGTCGTGGCACTGGTCCAGTGGAGTGGGTTGGAAGGGGGGGCCATGGTCTTGTTTTTGCTGAAACAGTCCAGGCCCCAAACCTGGACTCACTGCTGGTGTTTAGCCCTTTGCACCTGTGCCCGTGTCGCCCATTGCCTCAAAGGCCTGCAGGAATCGTGTCCTCGCCAGCTCTGACGTACTCGCTGATGGGGCCACATTCTGATGCTCAGGCCCAAGACACTGTGGCCTTCCTGGGCCCTTTCCTCTATTAAATAAATGTCCAAATATATAATATATACTATTATATTTTAAAACTTCTTTTAAACTTAAAAGATCATATTTTTCTCCTGATTTTAAGAGAAAGTAGAAGATTTTCATGGGCCCCTAAAACTATCGTGATCTCTAGACCTTGCCCATTGGGACCATATTTTAAAAGTAAAAAATTTACTTTGATAAAGCAACTTAAATTTAGTATGTGGAAATTATAATATTATAGTGAGCCATCTTTAGGAGTCATAAAGCAAACTCTAGGACATGTTTTGTTATTCCAATAAGTCTGTTTAGAAATCAGTACTCATTGAAATGTTGGCGGAGGACTGCAGTTTCACATGGCATCCCTGGTTGCCTTGGGAAGTGGCTGACATTTCCAGGTGGGATTGGGTTTCGATATACCATCTGTGGACCAGACTCTCTGTTGCAGAACCCAAACTCAGCTCCAACAGGTGCCAGCAGCAAAGGGGAGCGTCTGGCCAAGTGACTAGAAAGCCCACGCCCTTCCAGTCAGGAATTGGACACTATCCTGGGTCGTGGTATCTTCCCTGACTCAGCCCTCTTCTAAGTCCATAGGTTCCCAAACAGGCTATCAATTTGGCTTCCCCAGGGGCCAGAGGGAGCCTCCACAGTCACTGTGGTCAGGGTGGGGGTATGGGTGGGGGTGAAATATGCGGATTGGCCAGGCTGGGTCATGGAGGAGGCAAACTTCCTGGAATGAGAGTGGATGAGGAGCAGGTGCTGGACAGCGTGCACACAGCCTTCACGTGGCAATGTTCACTGGTGGCCACTCACACCACCCGTAAGGATATGAAAGTGAGGCAGAAAGACAGATGTGGTACAGAGCCAGGCTGAGCATTCAGTGTGTTATACTTAATACAAATACTAGTACTTATTAAAATAGCTGCCTCTGGCTGCTGCTGGGTGACCTTGAGAATGTCACAGAACCTCTTAAGAACTTAATGTTCTTACCTGAAAAACCCCAACCTTTCTCAGTTCTTGGTAGGGAAGTTATATCATGTAAGTAAAAATACTTTGGAAAATATGAACACAGAGACAACATACCAAGAAAGTCACAGAATGAATCAAATTGTTTCCACCAATTTATAAAAAAACAACAACTAGAGGCCCAGCTTGCGAAATCATGTGAGACCCAGACCTGCTGTGCTGCTGCAGGACCCCAGACCCACACCTCGAGACCCATCAATGCACCTCCTGGTGACCGGTTGTTTGGTTGTTACGGCATTACGGTGTTACAGCCACTGGCCTTTTATAATATAGATTAATATTAGGGATGCTCAGGTGAGAGATTCATTTTTTTGTTGTTGTTGCATTTTTAAGGTGTTTTGCATTTCCAGGAAACTATCTACTTGAACAAAAGAAGTGTGGGTACGTAGGGACAAGCACCATCTTTTGAATTTTTTTTTCAATACAATGAGATTTTGGGAGGAAGTATTAGTAATAGAACCATTCAACTATCTGTAGATAAGTGTGTGTGTGTGTGTGTGTGTGTATGTGTGTACATGTGTCTTATGTATGTGTACACCTGTGTTTGTGTGCACATGCAGAGAATATTAAGGCAGCTGGTTTCTTCAGGGAAAAGGACAGTTGACTCTGAAGGGATGATGGGAATGTGAACTGATTTTGGGAGTATAAAGTCTTAGTAGCTGATGATGCTTGAGGCATTTCTTGGCCTTTCATACTTTAATTTTTTGCAGTTTTTAAGGGTTTCAAAAAATTGTGGCATAACTTGCCTTGGCCAGGTAGCTCAGTTGGTTATACTGTCATCCTGATATGCCAAGGTTGTGGGTTTGATCTCAAGGTTATAGGTTCAATTTTTAGTTCAAGGCATATATAAAAATCTTATCTAATGAAAGCATAATATGCAAATTGACCGTCACTCTAACACACAAGATGGCTGCCCCCATGTGATTACAAGATGGCCAGCGATGGAGGGGAGTTGGGAGGGACCAGGCCTGCAAGGGAAGGCAGTTGGGGGGTGCCCAGGCCAGCAGGGGAGGGCAGTTAGGGGTGATCAGGCCAACAGTGGAGGGCAATTGGGAGGGATCAGGCCAGCAGGGGAGGGCAGTTGTGGGCGATCAGGCTAGCAGGGGAGGGCAGTTACGGGTGATCAGACCTGCAGGGGAGGGCAGTTAGGGGCAATAGGCTGGCAGGGGAACACTTAGGCATCAATTAGGCTGGCAGGGGAGTGGTTAGGGGGTGATCAGCAAGGCAGGCAGGCAAGCAGTTGGGAACCAGAAGTCCTTGATTGTGAGAGGGATGTCTGACTGTCCGTTTGGGGAGTCTTTGAGAGGTCCCAGGTTGGAGAGGGTATAAGCTGGGCTGAAGGACACACACCCCCGTGCATGAATTTCATGCACTGGGCCTCTAGTCTATCAGTAAATGCAGAAATAAGTGGAACAACAAATCAATGTTTCTCTCCCCCCCACCCCCCACCTCTAAAATAAATGAATTATTAAAAAAAAAAACCTACACGTATTAAAAAATAATTTTTTAAATTGTGGTATAACAATGCAGAAAAATGTCCTTATACATATCACTCGGTAAAGTGTTCCCTGTGAGTACACACAAGCATGGGGCACCTTCAGCCGCTGGGAGGCCCTGCCATGCCCCTCCCGTGCAGTCTCCCAGCAAGGCCAGCTCTAGCGTGACCTCTGCGTGCAGGTTGGCTTGGTCAAGCTGGGGCTCACACGGTGTGCACGCCGAGGGCTGGCCTCTTTCCCTGTCCGCTGCCAGAGTCGGCGTATTGTTGCTTGTACTGTACCAGTAACTCTGTCTTCCCCCGCACCCCTCTGCGCTCTGCGGCCGATGGAGTGGCCACACTGTAGTCACAGAACAGTCTTAGTGACGCGTGGAGCGTGGGTCACGGGCTCTGACAGCCTCTCCTGTTTCTGCAGCATGTGTTTGACTACCGGCCGGGAGACATCTTCGGCTGCGTGGCTGACATTGGCTGGATCACTGGGCACAGCTACGTGTTATATGGGCCCCTGTGCAATGGAGCCACCAGTGTCCTTTTTGAGAGCACTCCAGTTTACCCTGATCCTGGTGAGGGCTGGGAACCCAAATGGGGTCCCTGGGAGGGAGCACCGTGGGAGACACAAGCATCGGTGGCCTGTCCGCAGCATTCCAGGGGAAGCACCAGCCGCCACTGTAGAGACCATTTAAATGCAACTGAACACGAGTTCTATATTCACGCTGCCTCGCTGTTTTTTTTTTAAATTCACAGAAACATGTTTTTAACTTATTCCTCACTATAGTGTACAGGGTACCCTATGGGGCGGGAGGGGGGGAGGGGGGAGCTTTTCCGAGACAGGTGGAGGCTTTTTACAAATGGGGGATCCCCAGCCTGCGGATGGGGGAGTGCCGGGGGTTGACTGCCACAGGGAACCCCTTCTTAGAGGTCTCCCTTCCCATCCCGGTGATGGGTGTTGAATGCAGGCTTGCATGTATCCAGCACCCAGTATTGTTGACTGATCTCTGAATTGGGTGAAAATAGCTACTGTCTGGTGGGCTCTCAGATGGACTGAACGGGGGCCTTTTTGTAGGTCGGTATTGGGAGGTGGTGGAGAGGTTGGGGATCAGTCAGTTCTACTGTGCCCCGACGGCTGTCCGGCTGTTGATAAAACACGGCGACTCCTGGGTGAAGAAGTACGACCGCTCGTCCCTGCGGACTCTGGGGTCAGGTGAGCACTGCTCTGTCGCGGGGGAGGGTGTGGGTGTTGTCTCTCAGAGCCCCTGCAGGCTTCTAGATGGTTTTAATCACAAAAGCTACGTGTCTGTGTCCGTGGTGAATTCAATGTCAGACCCCACCCAGTAGGACACAAAGGCCTGTCAGCCCCTCCCCAGAGCCCACAGCTGTTAACAGTCTGGGCACAGCACTCCACACACTTTCTGTGCCCTTCCTTATTATGGGCTTTATTAATTATTATTATTATTATTAATCATCACTGAACCTTTGAGATCTGTTTCAGTGCTGAAATATGTTTTAAAAAGTATATTTTTATTGATGTTTAGAGAGAGAGAAAGGGAGAGAGAGATAGAAACATCCATGAGGGAGAAACATGGATTGGCTGCCTCATGCACACCCACTACTGGGAATGGAGCCCGCAATCTGGAAATGTGCCCTGACCGGGAATTGAACCAGTGACCTCTTGGTGTATGGGTCAATGCTCAATCATTGAGCTACCCCAGACAGGCGGGCTTCATCCTTACTATGAATCCTTACCAACTCTGTAAGGTAAGGGCTGAGCTCTTGGTTCAGTGGCTGCATGGGACTGCCCCGTGGAAGCCAGCTGCTGTTCCCTGAGCATTCCCATGATGCTGGCCAAGCCCTGTACTAAATGTCATTCCGTGCTGTGCACTGCTCTCATTCTAGATATTTCCATGCAAGTGTTGCAGAGTACAGGTTACCTCCGTTTTCAGTTTTAGCTGAGGTTGCCAAGGCACGTGAAAGCTTTTGGGAAAAGATACAGGTTAATTCAGAGGGCAGCTCGGAGGCCCTGCCTGTTCTCTCTGCTTTTCCCTGATGCCCCTATATGTGTTACCAGGTGTGGTCAGGAAGGAAAATAAGGTGGGAGGCCCCCCATGCTCCTTGGTGAGGAAAAAGGAGACTTATGTAAAACTTATTTTAAAAAATAAAGAGAAGTACCCAAATTGCTCCCCAGAATTGCTGCACCAAATTACACTCCTGCCGTGCATGGGGTATCCCTGTCCCTACATTCTTGTTGTTCTTTTTTAATTTTTGACCCTCCAGTGGTAAAAACACCTTAGTTAACTTTTATTCTTTTGATAAATCGGCCATCTTGTGATCGATCCCAGTGCTTTTTTAAACCTTCTTTTTATGCCCTTGAGGAAAATTTCAGAGCTGTTTCCCTTTGAGCAATCTATTCCTTTTGGGTTTGGGTTTACTGGGGCCTGTTAATGTCCTTTTTTCTTGTGTGTGTGATTCCAGTGGGAGAACCAATCAACCACGAGGCCTGGGAATGGCTCCACAAAGTGGTGGGGGACAGCAAATGCACCCTGGTGGACACCTGGTGGCAGACAGGTAAGAGTGTCTCCCAGGAAAGGCATCAGGGCCCCCCGGGAACCCGTGCAGGGCTCGCCCCGGGGGCCTTTCCTGCAGCCACTGTGCGCTCCTGTTACTGCGCTGAGAGCATGGGGCTGAGCACCGAGGGTGGGGGCTCAGGCGTGAGGCGTGAGAATGTGGGGTCAACACCATGAACGCCTCAGCCTTCCACATGGTGGTTGCTGAAAGCCTGGTGGCTGAAGCTCAGAGGTGGAGCCTGGCTTTGCAGCTGTAAGACCTGGGATGTGTGATGACTTCTCTGAGACCCAGTTTCCTCATCTGTAAAGTGGGGCGCTCCCTCCAGGCTCTGAGTGAGGATGAAACGAAAGGATACCGTTCACTCCTGTTGCCCAGGCCTGACATGCAGTAGGCACTCAGCTGAGCGTGCGCGCTCCTCAGGAGGGCCCCTTTCTGCACGCGAGCGATGAGTATGAGTCCTGCTGCCTACGAGACTCTACATCTAAACCTAAACGTTAGTGGGAAAAGGCATTTTCTGCTGCATTTGGTTTAGATTTGCCCTCTCGTCTCTGGAGTGTCTGACGTATCAGGATGTTTGGGGCAGCGGAGGGCTCATCTTTCCGGAAGCCAGAAAACTGGGGCGCTCCGAGTGGCTTAATTCTCATCCATTCGGGAGGGCACAGGACAGAGGTTACCGCTGAGTCCCGTGAGGTATTGCCATGCAGGCCGATAGAGGGAAGAGCAATAATGCGACACAGAATTGTGGGCTTCTGGCTTTGTTGTTTGGGGCACTGCTCCAGAAGCGATTCTTCATCTTCCTGTGCCAGTAGGTGGGCTTCACCTCTTCCTCTGACGTGCTGGTGGGACCAGCGGGGCCGGGGAGGAGAGGCAGCACCCATGGGCTGTGGAGCCACCGCACCTGGGCCGGAGCCCCCTGCCGGGGCCCACTCCCAGGATCCAAGTCTAGTTTCTTCTCAGAGAAAAGTCCTTGGGACAGTGGGGGCTGTTTCCTTGCCCCAAATCGGCAGTCCCACCCACTCTGTCCCAGCCAGTCTGTGCCAGATTCTTTTTTTTTTTTTTTTTATAACTTTATTTTATTTTATTTTTTTAAATATACTTTATTGATTTTTAACAGAGAGAAAAGGGAGAGAGATAGAGAGCTAGAAACATCGACCAGCTGCCTCTTGCACACCCCCTACCGGGGATGCACCTGCAACCAATGTACATGCCCTCGACCGGAATCGAACCTGGGACCTTTCAGTCCGCAGACCGACGCTCTACCACTGAGCCAAACCGGCTTCGGCTGTCCCAGATTCTTGATGGCTTGGCCTGGAAAAATGTGGTGCTAACCTCTTGGCCCATCGGCATTTCTCCCCTGTCATCCCCATAGAAACGGGCGGCATCTGCATCGCACCGCGGCCCTCGGAAGAAGGGGCAGAGATCCTCCCCGCCATGGCCATGAGGCCCTTCTATGGCATTATCCCGGCTCTCATGGATGAGAAGGTGGGTAAGGGCCTCTGCTCCTCCACACACACCCCACTGCGCTCCCCGGTGTTTCTGCCTGCCTTCCTGGCCTCCTTTGCCCGCTCGCCCACGTCACACATGCCCAGAGCCTGGCAGAGGGTGGAAGGAGCCGGTGTCCTCAGCAGCATGCACTGCAGGCTCCTCGTGGACACGGCTGGTGCAGTCACCACGTGGGGCGAGCCCAGGTCCCCTCAGAGCCCTCTCCAGGAGGGTTCCTTGTGGAGCAAGAGGCTCTGGACAGTTCCTTTGGGGCACATTTACTTACTATCTTCTCTCTCTCTCTCTCTTTTAATTGCTTTATTGATTAAGGTATTACATATGTGTCCTTATCTCCCTATTACCCCCTATCCTCCCCACTCATGCCCTCACCCCCCTGTTGTCTGTGTCCATTGGTTAGGCTTATATGCATGACACTTGCTAACTTTCTGTCTCAAGCCAAACAGCTAGGACAGTGGTCGACAAACTCATTAGTCAACAGAGCCAAATATTAATAGTACACCAATTAAAATTTCTTTTGAGAGCCAATTTTTTAAAACTTAAACTATATAGGTAGGTACGTTGTTATTAACTTAATTAGGTACGTGGTATTTTGTGGAAGAGCCACACTCAAGGGGCCAAAGAGCTGCACGTGGCTCTCGAGCCGAGGTTTGCCGACCACTGAGCTAGGAGAATGATACTGATTGTCAGTTCTTTGCTTCTCCGCCAGAATCTGTCCTTATTTTCAAATGCCTGTCTCCCTGGTCTGCAGGGAAACCTTTTGAAGGGCAACAATGTTTCCGGCGCTCTGTGCATCGCACAGGCCTGGCCGGGCATGGCCAGGACCATCTACGGAAACCACCAGAGGTTCCTGGAGGCCTATTTCAAGGTTTACCCAGGTGAGCGGTGCCTTTCCACCCGCTGCCGGAGCCCTGTCCTTGGAGCATGTTTCCAAGGGGCTGGTGCGTGTGAGCGTCCTTAGTGCAGGCTCAGAGTAGGGGCTCTGAGGCCTGAATTTAAGTCCTGCTCCCTCCCCCACTGCCTCCCTGACTTTATGTCTGAAATGGGAGAGACTCACCTCGGGAACGTCCCAGGGGAGAGTGTGCAGGCCCCTGAGTGCATGGCCCATGGTGTGGACTCGGCAGGCTGTCAGGGAAACTGTCAGGACGGCTGGACGTTTTCTGCTGGCCTGCTTTCCCCACAGGTGGCTTTGTGTTGTCGGTTGGACGTTTGCGTGTATTAGTATAGCTGTTGGAACCCATGGCCTTTAGTCTCGAGTCTGTAAACGAGACTCACTTTTGGGGAAAGGTGAGGGTGCTCCTTGTATGTCTCCTGCTCCCCAGGCTTTTGCAGACTTGATTGCATTCAGCTGTGTCGGGGCCATTTGCCCTCTCCCTAGCACCAGGCCACACGGCACAGCTAGGCAATGTCTCCCGCAGGGAGGGAGGGCCAGCAGGCAGCAGACTGGCAGAGCGCGGGGCTTCAGAGCTTCCTGCCGTAGAGCACGGCTGGGATCCGGCCCGTTATGCCCGCGAAGGAAGGACACGACTGGTTAGGCTTATATGCATGACACTTGCTGTCTTGGTTAGGAGGTCCTGGTTGGGAGGTGCTGGCTCTGAATTCCCTACTGGGTTGCAGGCTACTACTTCACGGGAGACGGAGCCTGCCGAACCGAGGGAGGCCATTACCAGATCACGGGGCGGATGGACGACGTCATCAACATCAGCGGCCACCGGCTGGGCACGGCGGAGATCGAGGATGCCATCGTGAGCACAGGCCCCGTTCGCCCGGCTGGGAGCTATAATTGGAGGTGTCGGGTGTTCACCCTCCCACATACGTTGCCTTTTGCTTCTGTTCTGTGCAGGCGAGCCACCCCGAAGTGCCGGAGACCGCCGTCATTGGCTACCCGCATGACATCAAAGGGGAAGGTGAGACCCGGGGGGAACTCTGGTCTCGCTCCCATCACAGCCCCTCTGTGAAGAGAACAGCTTGGTCCTGCTGTCAGAGAGAGTGGCAGGGCGTTGATGGGTGAAGCTGTTGGTTTTCTTCTCTTTCAAGTGCAGATTTGGGGTGAGGAGGCTGAGCAGTATGCCTGTTAGACTGAGGCCAGGTTTCTGAGACTCTCTAGCCCTGCTGTCCTTTATTTATTATTTTTTAAAAAAAAATATATTTTATTGAGTTTTTACAGAGAGGAAGGGAGAGGGATAGATAGATAGAAACATCGACGAAAGAGATGAACATCGATCAGCTGCCTCCTGCACACCCCCTAGTGGGGATGTGCCTGCAACCAAGGTACATACATGCCCTTGACCGGAATCGAATCCATGACTCTTCAGTGTACAGCCTGATGCTCTATTCACTGAGCCAAACGGGCTAGGGCCAGAATTGTCTTCTTTACCGCAGACATACTTTTCCCCAAAGTCTGCTGGTTTCTAAGCAGGTGGGAAGGTGCAGGGTCACCTGAGTGTTGTGATGCCGGGGGCACAGTGACCTGGAGATCCACTGACCCCGTGCTGCACTGCTGGGCGGGCTGACCTCAGCTGCCTGCCAAGTGGTCTGGCCTGGGCGCTCTTCGTCCTGCCGTCAGAGAGAGTCTGTGTCGCATGTCCCGGAGGTCACCTCCTCCCTTCCAAGTGTGCCACTGCTCCGTTATTTGATGGGCACTTGCTCTGAACCGGCCCTTTGTAAACATTAATATTTGTTTCAGTTGCCATGAGAAGGCTGTGCCCATGAGGCGGCCTTCCCTTTGTTAACAGGAGATTGGGCCGAGGGGAGCTCCCAGGGACCAGAGGGCATGGAGATGAGAGCAGGTCTTCATGTGTGACTGTCAAGGCCTCAAGCACTTCACACTCCCATAAGCAGCTCTCAGCACTGCTCCCTGGCACCCTCTGCGACTGATGTTGCCAAGTCTTTTCATGTCTGCCAGGCTAGTGGGAGAGAATTGTACATAAGAGTATGATGATATGAATTTTCCCTATTTCTTACAAAATGGAGCATCTGTCCATTTGTAGTACATAACCCATCAACTGCTCTTGCGAAAGCTTTTGTGCATTTATTGGTGCCCACGCTCTCTGTCTGTGCTTCTTCTCACCCCCGTGCTCTGCCTCTGCCAGCGGCCTGGCTCGCTGGTCCCTGAGGTCAGCCGTGCACGCCTCCTCCGCCTCCTCCGGGCTGGCAGCCGACTCCTCCTCCCACGTCCAGGCTTTCCTGACCCATCTCTGCCCGGAATTCACCAATCCAGGCTCAGTTTATTGCCATCTCGTTACAGATACAAGTGACTGGCAGGGAAGGTTAGAGACAAGGGAGCACCTGGCAGCATGTCCAGTGTGATCCCTCCAGGGTCTAAAAGGTGGCGCCATATGCCCAGGGTTTAGCTTTAAAATTTGTGTCTGGGGACAGCAGCCAGAGCCCCTGAGGAACCTCTTCCTCGTGGGTTCTGTCACCATTTAATCCTGACGCAGCCACGAGGCAGGTACTGTTAGCTCGCAGGTCCCAGGTAGAAACCTGTGCCATAGCGTGGCTACGTGACTTCCTCACAGGAAGCACGTGGCAGAGCCAGAAGAGGGAGCAAGAACAGTCTCCCCTAATCATAATTCTGCTCTGCCTTTCAGGGCTGGAGTGAAGGGAGAGAGCCAGGAGGGGAGGTATAGTTTTATTTTACATACTTCTACTGTGTTTTATTTTTTATTTATTTATTTATTTTTAAATATATTTTATTGATTTTTTACAGAGAGGAAGGGAGAGAGATAAAGAGCTAGAAACATCGATGAGAGAGAAACATCGACCAGCTGCCTCTTGCACACCCCCTACCGGGGACGTGCCCGCAACCAACGTACATGCCCCTGACCGGAATCGAACCTGGGACCTTTCAGTCCGCAGACCGGCGCTCTACCACTGAGCCAAACCGGTTTCGGCCTTCTACTGTGTTTTAATTTTGGTAATCAGTATGTGTTGCTTTGGTAGTTTTAAAATTTTAATTAAATCCACAGTAAACATCTCTCAGTGGGCCTACGCAGAAAGCTCAGGTGTTAGCTTTGTGCCTTTCCTCTGAGCTCCAGTGGTTTGGGCCTAGACTGTTTGGAATTTCAAATATAATACCAAGAGGAAAGAAAAGTGCAGCTGTTCCCCTCAAAGACCTCACAGCCTTAGTGAGGTGGGCACAGGGGACCAACAGCTGTTCCCACATAGCAAGTGCCATAGCTGCATTCATGGACAGAGTCAGGAATGGCTCCCCAGAGTCCAAAGTAGCTGACCTGGGTCTTGGGGGATGAACAGGAGTGTGCCAGGTGGAAATGGGAGGAGGCTTTCAGGGAAAGGCTGTAAGTGTCTACCGATTGTAGCTTATTCAGGAAAGTCATTCATTGATGCATTTGACAAACATTTGTTGAGCACCTACTATATCCCAGGCACAGTTGTAGATACTGAAACACAGCAGAAAGTGAGAGAGAGAAGTTTCTGTCATGCTGTAGTGGTTAGAGATTAGAGGGGGGAGAAAGACATAAACAATAAGTATGATCAATGAGGAAACTATCTAGTATATTAGGTGATACGTGCCATAAGGAGAATTTGTTAGGATAGGGCGGAATTGGTATAGGAATAGAATACAAATAAACAAGGAGTGCTTGCCATGTGTGAGAGAGGAGGGCATTGCTGGTCAGTGAGGCAAAGGACGGACTGTCCAAGATGGTGCTAGGACAAGTGACTAATCAAATGGACAAAATATTGAATTAGATCCTGATGTCATACCAAATACAAGATTATCCCAGATAAATTAAGAAGGAATGCATTATTTGCAGTAGCCGTGGGAGCTCTGGTAAAAATGGGAATGTGGTAGGATATTGGCAAAGTGTCTGTGCTCTAGTATGGGATGGCCGTTGCTGCCCAGCAGACTCTGCCATGACAGATCTGTCCGTCATGGGGCTCATGTAACCAAATTACTGCATTTTTTAACTTATATTTTTATTTAGCCATCCACTGTGGCAAGTGCTTGCCATGTTGCACACATAACCACAAAGATGGTGTCATGTGCAGTACTACCTCACGGGAGCTGACAGCAAACTTCCTATGAGCCCATGTCATAGGCTATTTCACAGATGCAAAGACAGCGAGAGAGGATAAGTCCTGTGTTCAAGGTCACATACACAGCCAGTCAACACCAGAGCCGAGGTGCCAAGCTCTCGCCCACCCAACATGGGACATTCAGAGAAACTGACAGAATCACTTCCTTTTTGAATGAAGATGATAATGCACCTTTAGGGATGCAACTAAAGAAACCAGCAGCGACAAGATCATCAACAAAGGATTTGAAATCCTTTGAATTTATGGTGATTTGTGTACAGCACTCTGGCTAACACATCCTAAAATCTTGCTCTCCTTCCAGCTGCATTTGCCTTCATTGTGTTGAAAGATAAAGCAGATTCAGATGTTGTGATGAAAGAGCTCAGGACCTCAGTGGCCACCAAGATTGCCAAGTACGCTGTGCCCGATGAAATTCTGGTAAGTGGACTTGCCTCAGGTTGGACTGCACTGTTCATCTACACCTTCTTCTCCTCTTCACACAACGAACATCACAACAACACTGACGCCAGCTGATTGGCTCCCTGGGTGGTAGGTGAGGGTGGCGGATGGCTGTATTGTCGGAGACGGGGAGAGGGGCAGGGAAATGTAGCGGCATCAGTTTGCACAGCTTGCCTGTTCAGGGGGTAGTGCCGAGCAAGACTAGATGCTCTCTTACTTTGGCGTTTGGGGGCTGGTTACAAGGGGAAGAAAATTAGGGAGAAATGGAGAAACAGGTGGAGAGCACCAGAGTTTTTCAGCCCCTGGGTGTGGTTCCAAACACTTTTCCCAGTGCCGGCAAAGGAGATGTCGCAGAGCCTACCTGGGGGAGCCTGTGGTGGAGCAGTTTAGTGGAAGAACTGGGCCACCCTCTCAGCCCTTTCGTGTTTCACTCCTTCGTTACATTCCCCCCATGGTGTTCCTTCACATGGAAGCGGCCCTCTGAAGCACCACTTGGTGTGGCACAAGGTCAAGCTGTTAGCCTGGGGACCAGAGTTTCAGCGAGACCTGAACTCTCCTTGCAGGAACTGAACTCTTTCTAAAAAAAAAAGAGGTCATTAATATCCCAAATACAGGTCATTAATATCTCAAATGGGAGCCCAAATACAGCTCCCATTGACCGTTAGTGGGTCGCGGCTTTGCTCCTGTTGCTGCCCGGGGGCCCTCGCTAATGTAGCTTATAGGAGAAACAGGTGTCAGCAGTGCGGCGAAAGCAGGTACAGGGGAACCCGGGCCTGCTGGAGGCTTGGGCAGGACCCCCAGTTAAGTGTGCTCTTTGGGGTGATACAGCTTCAGGTCCAGATTGTAGACTGTGGGCCTCACGATCCCCTGGGAAGAGCCCTTCTTTCCTCAATGCAGTCAGTCGGACGCTGGCTGGGGACGCTGGCACCACGTGAGATTCTAACATTGCACCCCTTCCTTGCCAGGTAGTGAAACGTCTTCCAAAAACTCGGTCTGGAAAAGTCATGCGGAGGCTCCTGAGGAAGGTCATCACGGACAAGACTCAGAACCTGGGGGACATCACCACCCTGGAGGACCCCAACACCATCACGGAATTAATAAATGCCTACAAGGAGCACAAAGACAAGAAGGCCGCTGGCCGGTGATGCCCAAGCCCCTAACTTGTCCTTCTAGGGCACAGCCCTCCGTTGGCTTGTTTTTAGATGTCCCAGAGTAGTGTCCTCCCAGCGTGTAACCCACACCGCCCCTCCTGTAAAGTCTGTGCCAAAACCCCTTCCCCTTTGTGTTGGAGAACCCATGCGAGGATTCTGTAAAATTGATTAAGGTCCGCTCTACTTGTCCTGAATTTGGTTTCCTTGAATGAAAAGTCCCTGTTGACTCTGTGTCTGTGCCCGTGCCAGACTGCACAGGAAGGTGAAAAACCTGGTGAAGGGTGCCTGCTCAGATGAATGAGAAGTAGAAGCAGGCAGGGCTTGTTCCCCCCCCCCCCCCCTGATGTTTCTAGATATAAAAGGTGGATGTGTTATTTTTTATACTTTTATATTTTGGAAGAATTACATGCAAACGTGGAATGTGTGGGTTTGCTTGTACATGCTCTTTGTAACACCAAGAGTTATGAAAATTTTGTCTGCCTTCGCTCATGGGGAAACATGGAGAGAGTTGGGGGTGCACTTGTGATGATGGTGTGGCATAGTTGGAAATGTGAATCGGAAGTGTTGGCACCCCAGTCTAAACACAGCTCTCTTGAGAACGCTTGAGCCTGCAGCATGCGTTTTTTCTGGTATACATTTCTACTTCTCTTGGTTTATGTACAGTGAAACTCAACTTGTAAAGTGGTGGCACGGATGTGCTCACCTTTTAGTCCTAAAGCTGCTCCAGTCACACATTCTTGTTTCTCCACATTGTGATCTGGGAAGATTCTCCCCTCCCCACCTTGGATACCTCTTGGTAGGAGATCAGCATGCTCACAATTTGTGGGGTGGTTCAGGGAAGCCAGCGAAAACTCAGGTATCTGAGAGCATGGACTCGGCTAGAACTCTGCCTGTCTTCATTCTGTCGTTGGGGCACAAGAACCACAGAGGCCCAGGGATGAGGGCTGGAGCCCTGAATCAAGTTTCTCCCTTTCAATGTGCCTTAAGTCCTCTAAGGTTAGCATGATGATGTAATCATCAAGTCAGAAAGTGTTTATTAGCCAAGCATGCCAGGGACGATGGTGTGGAGCACTGGGGAAGGTAGCCTGGAGGAGAGGACAGGTCATCCTTGTCTTTACCTCACAGTCCACAGTACCTTGCACCTGTGTCGGTGTTCAAGGAGTGTCTGGGGTATTGGATATTTTCTGTGGGCAGTAGCTGTGCTGGCCTCTGAGGTGATTAGGCAAGTACACCTGTGGCACCAACGGAGTGGCCATTGGCTGTAGCACACAGATATACCGAGTGACGGTCTGTTGTCACAGTGCTTAGCCACAGAGGACCATACACCTGGACCTGTCACATGTGTGGTGCACTAAGACCGTAGTTATGGTGCTATTTTTGAGATGGCTTCGATGGAAGCTTGCACAGTGACCAGGGCCTCAGAGTGATCTGCAGGGCAGCTCTAATAAAGCTTTATTTTGTTCATTCTCTTCTGTTTGTGGTGATGTTCTTGATCAAATAATGTTGCTGAATATAATTCTAAGAACAAAACTAGAAGGGGCCTATTCACTCAAAAGAACACACACACACACACACACACACACACACACACAAAATCTATCATCTGTTAGGGAAGAACTACACAATAACAGATCACCCCCCTTAAACTTAAGTTTACCTGTCTTTAGATGATTGTGCTGTCCAATACACTAGCTAGTTCAATGTAAATATAAACAACAGAATAGAATAGAAAACAGAACAGAATAGGATATTCAGTTCCTCCATGGCAGTAGCCACGCGTGGTCAGTAGCTGCCAGATCGGACATGTGGATGAACATTCCAGTCATCACGCAGTGTCTGGTAGTGAGTGGTAATCTGGAACATAGATGAGAATTAGGACACAAAAAGACCGCTACGCAGCTGAGTCAACAGCACAGACTGCATACAGGAGAAGCCCAGGCTTGCCGGTGAGACTTCCCATATAGCTCAGGATGTCTTTACATTAGATGTGGGTGGATGAGGTTTTCCGTGTAAAAAAATCAATAAAATATATTTTAAAAAATAACTCTCTTACCTGGCAGGTGTGGCTCAGTGGTTGAGCACTGACCTATAAACCAGGAGGTCATGGTTTGATTCCCCATTAGGGCACATGCCTGGATTGTGGGCTCCATCTCCAGTGGGGGGCATGCAGGAGGCAGCCCATCAATGATTCTCATCATTGATCTTTCTCTTTCCTTCTCCCTTCCTCTTTGAAATCAATAAAAATACATTTTAACAAAAGAGTAATTCTCTTTTAAAGTGGCTAAACCCCCTCCCCCCCCACACACAAATGTCATGTCAAAGGGAAAATTCAACTTTCAACATGATTAATTCCCAAGGGGAAATATGTTCCTATTAAATAGGAAAAAATAAATCATGGCTAAAGTTCATGGTTTGCACAACAATTATCTAAAAGTAAATCACAAGGTGATTCAGGCACACACTTGTACCAGGTTCACACACAGCAGCTGAATTTGTGGGGAAGAAAATAGAATTCTCAACCTAGCCTGGGAAAAGGATCAGATTGGACAGGGGACACAGAACCCTGGAATATCTAGGAAATGGATTGGTTAGGGAAGGACCCAATGCAAGCCTGTAAAAGACTGAGAAACTGATTGGTTAGTTTGAAAAAATGCCTAGTCCTTCCCAAACTTAACAAAGCTCTCTCTCACCAGGTAACACAAGTTTGCTGGGTTTGTTCATGTACTCTCTCTCCATAGCAACCATGGGGGCCTAGCAGCCACACAGATTAGAAGTGTGGGCTCCAAGCATGAACCTGGGCACTGCACCAGCCAAAGCACCCCTGGAAACAGACTAAGCTAGCCAGATGGGGACAGAGACTAATCTGGACTAAGTCTTCACATGGCACAGAATTTCTAGACACTGGCCTATGTCTGGGTCTGATTAAGGAAAGGCTGGATTTTTCCCGCAGTGGGACAGAGCTGAGCCCAGGATAGTTCTTTGTGTTTGCTATGAATCTTCTGCCCTGGTGGGAGATTGAGCCTAAGGGATCGGGAAAGAGGAAATTATAACGCGCACAGCTTCAATATGCCTTACCACAACACCCTAATTTCCCACGTGTGGGTCCCTGGAAATGCTTTTTATATGATCCCATGAAAAGGCTCCCTTTCCACCGGCAACACAATCACTGTAAGCTGTGCTAGTCTTTGCAGAGCTGACTTTGACCACTACCCTCAAGACACCCAATATTGTGAATGAGGAAAGAAGTGTTTACATTACTGAGTGCTATATGCAAGCAGGTTTTGAGCATTATCTATCCTTACACCTTCCAGGGCAGTGTGGATGGAAAAGGGGCAACATACTACATCTGCATGGTGGGCCTGACGAACTCAGAGACCTAGCCCTGACTGGATAGGTCAGTTGGATAGAGCATCATCCTGATACACAGCAAAGTTGTGAGTTCTATCTCGGATCAGGGCACAAACAAGACTCAACTAATGAATGCATAAATAAGTGAAACAAATCACGTTTCTCTCTCTCTCATTCTCTACCCCTTCCTCTCTCTCTCAAAGCAATAATTTTAAAAAAATTAAAAACAACTCAGAGACCTAATGTAACCATACAGGATGGTCTAAAATTAAAACTTTCTAATTGAAAGCCAGTCATGGCTGATAGCCATGTCCTAGCCTGGTATCTTTCCAGAGAAAGGTCAGTCTTTAACTGAGCCTGTCTAGTGTTACTGTTGCTTTGCATCTACAATAACATATCTTTCGAATGTCAGGATAATTTCCTCTTTCCAGACCCCTTAGGCTCAATCTCCCACCAGAGCAGAACTCGGAGCCCCTCATTGCTATTGTTACTGTGCTAATGTTAGCTGTTAACTATCCTATACCCACCTATGTAAGAGAAGTATGTGTCTATTTCTTTTATTTTTTATCCAATCCCAGAGATTTCTCCACTTCACTTTCTTCCATTTCCCTAAAGTACTGCCAATGGATTTCATGTAACCCCTATGCCTTATCCTTTGATTGTAATAAAATAAGATGCACAAGCCTAAACCAGTTTGGCTCAATGGATGGAGCATCAGTCTGCGGACTGAAGGGTCCCAGGTTCGATTCCGGTCAAGGGCATGTACATTGGTTGCGGGCACATTCCCGGTAGGGGGTGTGCAGGAGGCAGCTGATTGATGTTTCTCTCTCATCGATGTTTCTAGCTCTCTATCCCTCTCCCTTCCTCTCTGTAAGAAAATCAATAAAATATATTAAAAAAAAACTTTAAAAAAATAAGGTGCACAACAGCCATTCTCTGGAGTATTTTCTCATTCTGTTGAGATTTTGCTTCTGGCAATTGTCCTCAGTTTGGCTCAAATAAACTCATATAAATTCTCTACAGGTTTAAACATTTCTTACATTGACATTTAATTGGCATAGTGCAACAGCTGGAATCCTGTTGGACCAGCTTGAAGACCTCGACTTATGCTAGTTATCAGCAGGGCCCCACTGGCTTCTTGCTTTGCATCAGGTGAACTTGGATGAGTTTTTCTCAAAATTCCAGGCTTCCCTGTTTTGAGCTAAGAGGTCTGACTTTATTTGAGCTGTTTAAAAAGATTTCTTCAGGTGGAGCTAAAGGGTAAGGATTGAGAGAAGCTAAGCTAAAGATAAGAGTTGAAAACTCAGGTTGGAGTTGGGGTGGGTGGCTCATTTCAATTTTGGCTTTTCAATTGGAATTACTGAGAGTTTGAACAAAACCTTTTGCTGGATAAATGAGAGACTGAACTCTTTCAGTTCTGAAAATAATGGGCACTTCCTCCCTTCAGCTCGAATCTTGGGTGGTCTTAGGTGCCTAAGAATCTCTGTGGAGGTATCAGAGGGCATCCCTCATGATGTGCAGGAGCCCCATAGAAAGTTTTAACTCAATTATTCAATAAAATAATTGATTCATCTGGAAATACGCACAAAAATGCTGGTTAGCTAGTGCTCCAAGTCCTCCAGGTGTATTTGACAGCCAGAAGAGAAACCGAGACATTGAAGAGGGGTTGATGCAACTTGGGAGGTTACAGCCTCTTGGATCTCAACTCATAAGCAGCACACTTCAACCTATAATACCACACAATATCCCTAGAAATGTGTCCAGATTGTGCAAACTAAAATTAACATGGGAAATTGTGCCTCCAAGGCTGAAAAATTCCAGCCCCAGCCCTATTAATACTTCCGCAGATATACAATAAATAGGAAGCGTTTGCTTGCAAGTACTCACAGAAATAGGACTTTTTAACAAGAATTGATAGCAACTTAAGATGGCCAAAATGGAGCTCTTTTGATGCCTATATTATGTTTTCTTTTTGCATACAAAATTAGAAAAAGCTGGCCTTAAAGTGAAACTGAGTAAATGGGAAGCATATCTTGACTGGGAATTAGAAGAATCTAGGAGAAGCACAGATAAAATCTCTTCTCTACAAGAAGTTGATAAGACATTTTAGTGATAGTCTCTGAACTAAGGAAGGCTTCTGAAGCTAATAAATGCCAACAACCCATTCTCCCCCCTACTGCAGCTCCTCCATCATATCCTTTGCTTTCTGAGCTATCTTGTTCGGTCTTGCCCTCCCCTCACTTCTTTCCTTTCTATCT